ATTATAGTCTCACAAGTCAATCAGAAGTCAAGTGGCAATTTTCAAACAAAACTTCTAGATCCTTATATAAACAGCTAGACAGCCTGATTTCAGTAAGGTTGATTTTTGGCAGTTCTCTAGTGCCAGCTGGGACTGTAAAATACTACAGGGCCAAATTTTCAGCCTATGAGGGACAAAACAAAAATACACAAACTTTATGGACATATGGGCAGAATAAAATTCTCCCCATCTGGAGTAGAGTATAGTCAAGTTATCCACTTACTTTCCTAAAAAAATCTGGCACTAGAGGATGCTTTTTCAGTCTATAAATGGGCAGTAACATTCTCTGTCATCCTCTTTTTCTTATTTCACTCAGAGACGGTAAGATGTAGTCAAATGAGGAAAACATTTTCCTCACTGAGGAGCGCACATGGGCTCACACACATGCATGCACATACACACATTTCACTTCATTTTCCCTAGGACTTTCTCCTACACTAAACTACACACACACACACACACACACACACACACACACACACACACAAATAATTCACTAATTTAAATGTTTTCTTCTTTCATGCTCATTGTTTTGTAACATGAAACAATTTCCTGTTGTCGATATATGCCTTTGTTTCGTTAATACATTGTTGTTTGTTTATGTATAGTTTTGTTGTTACTTGGACTCACATTTGAGTCCACCATTTTTGTTGTGGGATAAATATACCAGGAGACACTTATTTCCCACCTAAACACCTGACTAGCATATTCCAACAACATATATTGAAGGACCTTTGATCTTCAAACACTTTAGAATGAAAAATTATTCTATCCTCACTACTATAAATATATTAAATTATATGAAATTAATTTTATTCACATTAAATCTCTTTTATCTATTTTCATCATTTGTGATTTTCTTTCACTCTTTCTACAAGACTCCTTCAGAATATGGTGAGACATGACTCTTTCAGAATATGGTGAGACATGACTCTTTCAGAATATGGTGAGACATGGGCTGTCTGTATACACATAAATATAATTTTCTCTTCTTTTTTGAGGTAAGTTGTTCTTTATATATATATATATATATTTAAATATGGCTGATTAAACAATTTAAACATGTGCTTATTTTCGATAAATTCCTTTCGTAATCATGTATAAGCTTTCTTGTTTCATGATTAAAGACAGCAACAAAGGTACTATGGCTATATTTATTCATTTTTATTTTTTCCAAGTACTTTCAGGGTTTTGATGGCTAAAACAAATAATTGTGTTTGTCTGGAATAAATCTTTGCTTTTGTGGTTAAACCGTTAACAATTCAGGTGATGCACAAAGTCATAAACGCTGATTTTTAAAATTTTATGTTATAAGAGGAATTCTTCATGTTTAAATTATTAAAATTGTGAATATGCTCATGGACATAACATCAATTTCATAATTTAAAAAATTTAATGTAATTGAAATATTAATAGAAGGTTATAATTTACTTGTTTTAAACTGTATAGTTATAATGTAGGTATTTTATAAGCTATATACTATAACCATTTCAGAACTTTTTTTACTATATTTATAATTAATTTTGTTAAGTGTTGGTTTTAATTTTTTAAGAAAGATAGCTTCAAGAAATTGTAGTTTCTGCTTATTACTTTCTTGGTGAAGTATACAGGTATTGTCCACTAATATTCTTCTAAATTGTGAATGTGAACAGGAATGTTTTTAGAGATGTTGAGCAATGGAGAATGAATCATTCATACATAGTGTAAGCCTTCTTGATAATGTGATTGTGGTATAACCAACATATATATTAGCATTAGGGACATTTAAATTGATATGTAATGTTGTTTTTTTGGAGTACATTAATTGGTGGGGAGGTGTTACTGTGGATGATTAAGTTAGTAGTATTGAATTTAGTATAGTATATAATTAATTTGATTTTTTTTACTGTGATCTCTGGGGGATATATTACTATTTATGAGTTTTTTTAGGATTCTTTTGTCTTGTTTATATTTAGAATGCATCTGATTATGATATAAAAGATTGATATGTTTAGGGTTATTTGAGGGAGTATTATGTTCTATTTGATTAATATTAAAATTACTAATAGCTTGCCTTATTTGTTCATTAACAATGTAGTTAGGAAAGTCATTATTAATGAGAGTTTGTTTAATGCATGTTTTTTTTTACTTCAGTGTAGAGAATCTTTTTGTGAATGAGTTAACTTTAACACGATTTATTAAATGTTGTATAATTGCTATTTTGTAGTAGGTAGGACATTCACTCTTATATTTAAGAGTGCACAAGTTTATGCTAGTAGTTTTTTTTTATATGGGGAGGTAGTGAATATATTTTCATTGGTGTCTATCAATATATCAAACAAAGGAATTTTGTTATTATTGTTAAGTTTGTATGTGAATTTAAGGACAGAGATTTTTAAATTCTTTTTGGAGTACACATATTTCATCAATGTTTTTTTACTAAGATGAAGATATCATCAACATATCTTAGGTACATGGAGGGTTTTTTTTTTAATATTAAATATATTATTTTAGAGGTTAGCCATATAAAAGTTACTAAAAGTTGAACCCAGAAATGAACCAATGGAAACACTGTCACGTTGTACATATATATTGTTTTTGTGGTCAAAGAATGAAACTTCAGTAGTACAAGTTAAAAGTAGTTTCCGTAATATGTTGGGTTTCATTTTTAATGGCGGGAGAGATGGATTATTGTATATATTTCTTATAATTATATCAATTGTTTCTCTAGCTGGGGCAATAATAAATATATTTTCAACATCAAGTGAGGCAATGGTTTCATTATTGGGTTTTTGTGTTTTTAGGATTTGGATTAATTCAAGAATTGATTTGATGCTGTATTTACTGGGAATGTATGGTGTAATAAGTTGGTTAATGATTTTGGTTAGTTGATAAACAGGAGTGGCGATTTGGGATATAATAGGACAGAAGGGAAAGTTTGGTTTGTGTGTTTTTATGGTTCCATAAATGTAACCTGGTTTATAAACACGAATTATTTTAAGTTTTAAATTGTATTGTTCTACATTATTGGCTATGATTAGTTTGTTGATTTCTAATTTCAGCTGGTTAATAGGATTCCTGTTAACTTTTTTAAATTTGGTGTGGTCATCAAGTATTTGTTTTATCTTTGTATTATAATCAGATTTGTTTAAAACTACAAAGATGTTTTGTTGACTGCTTTTGTAACAATAATATCAGAATGTTTATGTAACTCCTTGGCAGCAATTTTTAATGGTTTTGTTTGTAGTTTAGAAGAATTTTTTTATTTATGTCTATCTTTTATAGCCTCAGCTTTGACTAGGTCCTGAAATTCTAGTTCTGTTGTTATTAGTTGCTCTTCTTGAAGTTTTTCTATACTATTGTGTGTGTGTGTGTGTGTGTGTGTGTGTGTGTCGCAGGGTACGATAGATAAATTGTCGTCTAAATTACACAAAATAAAAATGACACTGACATCTCATTTTAACAGAAATTTTTTTTAAAATTACACAAAAATATCTTGAAATACTAAAGAGTAAATTTATTCAATAAAATTGCCATTGACTTCAATCACAGCCTTCAGATGACTTTGGAATCTCATGCATCTCTTCTGGACAGCCTCCTTGTTTAAATTGGTGAATGCTGCCATAAAGCTTGCCTTCAGTCCATCTTTGGTGCTAAAAGAAGTTTCGTTGATCTCTTGGTCAACTTCGCCCCACACATAATAATCAAGGGGGTTGCAGTCTGGGGAGTTAAATGGCCAGATGTAAGGGGTGGTGTGCTCATAGAAATTATCTGACAGCCATGACTGGGTTCTCTTGCTTATCTGCCATTGTGCAGAGTCCTGTTACCAGACATAAGATCTTCCAGTAGCCACCCTCTTGACCCAGGGATTCACTACCCCCACCCCAAAGTCACTTGATGTAGGTTTCTGTGTTGAGTCTGAGTAGGGAGTTCTTTTCTTATTGGAAGATTTCCAAGTTGCCATACTTTTGTAATCACCATTAGACTCATTCAACTCTTTCTGAATCCTATGTACTCTCCTCAGATTCTGAAATGTTTGTATTTGAGCTTCTGAGGTGAATGCCAAGCAGTATATTTGTCACCCCCCGAAAAGCAGCTTTGCTTGTGGTAGATCAACCTTTACTCAGTCCCCTTCAAATTTCAACTTTCAATCATAATCATTTTGAATTGGGAACTTTCAAAGTAGGTAAATTTCTATTTTTGCTAATTAACTTATTTATATGAAATGTTGGTGTAAAAGAAAGTTGTTAAAATTCCTTTGTTGTCAAGGAAAACATTTATTTTACATGAAATATTGTTTTCTAAGAAAAAACAGATTTTTATTTGGAAAGAACTGTTAACCAGTCTTGATAGTTTGAGGTACACAAGGGAAATTTTGTGCAAGACCTATATTGTAGTTTGTAGAATATTTAAGTTGTAAAATATTTTATCATTTTTATAACTGTTTCTCTGCAAATTTCATTCAGCATAAGAGTCTTGTCTTTTTCAATAGCACTTAACCTATAGCTGGGGGAGAAAAGATGGATTTATACATTCATGCATATAAGTGATATAAACAAAACTAACTGGAATTGGAACTTGACTTTCCAATTCCAAATTCTGAGCCATTATCCATTACACCAACCACACATCCAAGCCTGCAGCACTTGGTATTCCCAAGCATTCACCCATCTAGGTTTTGACCATACTTGATGTTGCTTAACTCTGGTGATTGTACAAAAACTGATGTTTCAATGTGACACGGCTCTAAGCTAATAATATACAATAAACATTATTATTATTATTATTATTCTGATTTTTCAATTTCTTTCATTGTCCTTTATATACCAGAGCAAATATTAAGAAACTTAATGACAAATTTTTTACACTTTGTCATTAATTTTCCTAACACGCACACACACATTTTTGCTAGAAGGGGAATCTCATGTTATATACTTCAACATCTCGCCAAATCTCGTTGCTTGTCAACCGCAGTATCAAAGATGGCGACGCCCATACCCACGTTAGCGTGTAAGTTGAAAGTTATAAATTTTTGCGTTTTTTTGCTTAGTTTAAAACCAACTTATTTAATTTCCTTTCAACCTGTGTAGCATGTTTAATAATGATATTAGAACAGTATAAAATATTTTATGTAAGCTTTTATGCGTAAGCTTCAAACACCTGCTATCTTTTCTTGAATCAATATGTCATTTTGTCTAGGTTTAAAAACGCAAAAATTACACGTGATTCGATTCTTAATCGAAATGTTGATAATTACGTTTATCGGGCTGTAAAAAGAATCAAATATTATATCTTTATATACAGGACAGTAGTACTGAATAAATAAAAAATCTCCTTTTTTTTCAGACAATAAGTTAGCAATTGGGAGGTTTTGTTTTTACAAGAAATTAAAACGTACATGTGTTGTTTCGAAATAGTTTAAAATAAAATAAACATATGGAAGACATTTTTGAAGTGATAAATATTTTGCTTTAGAACAAGTTTTAATTTTTTTTTTTTTTTGAATTGGAGCATTTTTTTTTTTTTTACTTTTTCTTTCCATACATGCATATTGCATAGAAAGATCTAGAGGTTCGCAATTTGTAGGCCTGTGTAAAAATCGGCTGCTTTTCTAATGAAATAGTGAAGTTCCAATTATTAAATAGTAAATACGTACTGTAGATTTAAGAAAACTGGCCTGCAATTTCTAACAGACGTCATTTAAAGTTAGTACTAGTGACTTTTTTTTTTTTTTTTTTAACTATGTTAAAGCGACGAGCAATAACTGAATGAATAAGTAAGTACTAGAGGAGATATCCCTAGAGACATGTTGAGAACCATCTACCACTCTAGCTTAAACAAGGGGTTGAGTCGTGGCCACCGATATCGGTGGCCGCGGTTGAGTGCGAAATTCTCTGAAGGTTACTCGAATCGACAAGTATCTGATGAAGGCCGGAGGACGCATGCGATAATAAATATAAGGACTCTTGAAAAAGGGAAGCAAAGTTTGTTTTTTTTTGTCTGTCTCAGTGTCATGAATTGTCCTCATTGAATTGGTTGGTGTAAATTAGCCAAGGTAAAAATAAACAAACTGACAAAATTCTTACTACAGCTTCTACATTCAATTTTGAAACTTACATCAACTTTATATGGCTGTCTTGAATAGTACTCTTCTTGTAACATACAAGTTGAAACTTACATGACACATGCTTGCTTACCTTGCTAATGTAAGAAACTCGAACCTTTTGTAGTTTGCTGCTGTTATATCATTTTCTTCCTATCATCTGAAAACAGCACTTACAAGTATATTTATACCGGGTGTAACAGCAAAATTGTCTAATTGTTACATTAAGCTTTGAACCATTATAACTTAGAAATGATTAAAGGTATCTTACTGGAATTCTCCAAGATGTTTTAAAAAACTGTTGAACTCTACTCACTGGGGTAGACTGTTCTAGTTGCACATGGAACTAAAACAGTCTACTCCAGTGAGCTAAAATAAAGGGTTTAGTTCAACATTCCAACCACCTGAAGAAGCATACAACGACCGAAATGTAATAAATATGGCAACAAAGATGAGGACAATAGTCTGAATAATGTAAATAGTGTAAAAATAATATATATATATATATATATATATATATGATAGATGATTGCAGATTTTATATAGAATCAAAAATTGAAAGACTCAAAATTTCATTATTTTTGGTATCAAATTGCCATAGATTAATATCATGAACCTAAAATGGAGATTTTAGAGAGATTGTTTGAAAATCACTTAAAGGTGAATCCTCTGCTTGTTTCTTGCAAAGATTCAACCAGATATTGAACATTTGGTTTCCCAGAATCAAGCTTAAGAATAAAAAGTAGATTTTATTGTTTTACTCAGGATATGTAGCTTTTTGAGGATGTTCAGGTAGTGTAAGTGTTATTGGCTCCAAAAGCAGAATCAGTTAATCAAGTTTAAATTGTAGTTGAGTCTGTTGGGTTCATTTTCTCATAGATTCAATGGGAACAGCATGAATCCATCTCGTTTTCCTTCCTGCTGCTTTGGGTTAAATATCAGGGTAGTCTGGGCTCTCTACTCTAGGTGGTCGGTCAGTCTAGGAGAAAGACCATGGAGAAGTTAATGGGAAGTGTTTTTACTCTCTTTCCCCCCAAAATCAAGGCAATTTACAGATAATAAAGAAAAGAAGTCTATGGAGAGTCATGTTTGCCTTTATCTTGAAGGGAGATAGTATCTTAAAAAAATAAGTAACAAAGTTTTGTTTTTTTATATAAATATTTATAGGTAACAAGAAAATTTTACCTTTATACAAGTTACTAATGTGAGCACTAATCATAAAAAGTTTGAAAGACACTGATAGAAACTAATATCTTTTTTTTTATTTTTCTTTCTAAACTTGTATTAACCAATTCTAGGATAGAAATAGGTTGGGCCTAAAATATCCATACAAGACAAATAACATTCATGAAAACATTTTTTTTCTTTTCAACCATCCCTATTTTTTTAATAAAAAATCCCACCATAATTGTATGACTCCAGTCATACCATATATAAACTGACTTCATGTATAGTGTGACCCCCTGAATTTTTTGGCATGAATTTTAACCCCCTCCCCAGAAAAAAATTTACCTGTGTATAGTTCAACTGGTCACTGAAAGTGTATGATTTTTAACCGCTTCAAAAAAAAAAAAATTACCTGTGTATAGTACAACTCCCTTATATTTTGTGTAAAAACTGATCATAAATACTTGCACTATACTCTAGCATATACAGTATAATTTGCTATTTTCTAAATTACTTTATTTTGTTATTTTATTTTTTAATTATAAATCATATCCTGTTTCTTAAAGTTCGTGGCTCCCAGGGAGTATGGATGATGAAAGGTTCCCCATTAACAGCTCAGACAGAATCATTCCGTGGGTAAGTTGTTATTTTTCTTTGCATTTTTTAAAAATTTATTTTCAAGCAATTTCTTACATTGCTATTATTCTTCGTAGTTAAACAACCCCCCCCCCAAAAAAAAAGTAATTGACAAAAACAATATTGACTAATTTAATATATTTGACAACTTGGCTTGACTTCATAAGGTATACACTAGTGTTAGATCTTGACGGATGAAAGCAAAACCTGATCAGGTCATGAATTTAAGCGTTTTTGCTAATGAGTTCATATGAAAAAGGATATGCAACCAGACAGATTTGGACATTCAGATTGTGGAATTTGACCGTAAGACCATTTGAATGATAGCCAACAGAAATGTCAAATTTCACTTGGGCCTTTTCAGCTGTATGGTGGTCAAGTGATATGGCTAAAAAGAAAAAAAAACCTCAAAGCTCATTCAGTTGTTTGACTATACTTACAGCATTGATTGGCCTTAATCCAGCTCTGTCTGTTTCCTTAGAAACTTGTCTAACATGGGCAATGCCTGACTGATTGCCACTTCTCTCCACTCAGTATTGTTTGTTTACAGTGTGAAGTTGTCTGAATTTCTTAAATTGTTATTAATTTTTGATTATGTGATCTTTTATGTTTTTGTGGCTTTTTATCAAAACATTTGGTTGTTTTATATTTATTGTAATAACACTAAGTGGAAATAACCAATTCATGCCATTTAATGGTTGTACAGTGTAAAAAGACCAGAGCATTGTAATGAACAGAAATGAAATATAAGCTAGTCAAAATTAATAATGAAAATGTTTCACCTAAGAAATTCAAACAATTTAAAACTTTACTATTTGGGGTAAAAGCAAAAGAAATGATAATCAAAAATTAATAATAATTGGCAATGCTTCATCTAAGAAATTTAGAAATCTTAAAACTTACATTTACTAAATGAAAAGAAATATGCCAAGGGTGTGTGTGTATTTTTCTGTAATGTTTAAAATTTTACAGTACTAGAGTTATCTTCCTTGTTAACTGATCCTGTCTTTTTTTTATGACAAAAGCATGCTGTTTCAAGATTTTATATATTTATTTAAAAACTGACATGTGAAAACCTAATATAAAACAATAGCAGTAAGGACTTAATCAAATATGGTATCATTTTTTACTGCATAGTTAATTTAGTCTATTAATAATACATTCTAGTTTTACACTTCAGAGATAAAAAATATTAATATAAAATTAAAGTTTTATTTTTTAATCTTAAAATATATGAAAAATGTCTAACAGTACAAAGTAAGAAATGTCCTCTTTGTATAGTGATTTCAGTCAACTGATATCTTATTAAATGGAAAACAGCTGGACCTATCACAAAAGTGGATTTGGAAATTTATTTTCCCCAATGTTTATCAGTAAATGAAGTCGACTTCACAAGTACGTAGCAAGCAGCTGAGAGAAAGAGGGTCACTGAATGAAGTCAAATTATTTTTTAAGATAAAGACCAGAAAAAGAACAACATTCTGTATAAGAGAGTGGTCATTGCCCGCAAAAAGTCAGAGAGACTGCGAGAGTCTGTGGAAAACAACATGAACGGGAAAACACCTGTCAGACTGTTCACCTACTCCTCATTTTGCCTTTACATGTCTGTAGCAGTAAGTTACTCCTACAGTTGGCTCATGGTTTTATTTCATGGGTAATGATCTGGCTGAAGAGTTATTTTTAAGCCACAAGCGCTTAACTGGATGAAGCTGCACTCTGAGAATGAACCTGGTATCTGGTCTAAGCTGCAATGCTATTTTTGTAAAAGTAGTAAAATTATGTTTCCTTTGAAGAAGAATTTTTCATAGTGGAATAAAAGAATGAATAGAAAATGGTAACATTTGTAAATGAAGGTTTTGTGTGAATTTTATTTTCCTCTGTTTATTCATACATTAATAAACCAGGTTTTCCCATTTCTATCATATAACTGGGTTTTAGACTATTTGGTTGATGCAAAAGTTCCAAACATTTCAATGTCAATTATTAGCTTAAATTCATAGCATAATTATTCAGCTGTCAGTGGTTTCCCTGACTTTCTATAAATTTAAACCACCATTCAGCTAAATTTTAATCCATCCCTCATAGAAGAATAATTCTGGTTTTAATATAATAGATTCTTTGACAATTTGTGCTTCTTAAAACTGCCAGGTATTGTTGCATTGTTCAAAACAAGTCTGAAAGTGACAAATCTGAAGAATACACTGTATGCAGAAGAATTTCCATCCTTTCCACATAATTGTTTGCTGCATTGCATATACAACCTGACAATAGGCATTATCATGCAGCAACACAGACTTATTTGCTCAGAGAAAGATTTCCTCTTTCAGTGTGTTATTCAAACAAACCAATTGCTCAGCTTCACGCAACAACATACTTCCAGCAATTTGTAATAAAGAAGTTATTTTGAATCCCACCTAATACAGGACATCTTTTTCTTCCCAGTAGAAATTTAGATTTAGGTGCTGAAATCTGTCTGCAATTTAGCCATGGTTTCCATTTTCATCATGAGTAATTATTTTGTCCAAAAATGACTTTTGTATTAACCAAAAATAGAAAGACAAGTGTTGTCTCATATTCCATTTTATAAGTTTATATACAAAAAATTTTCTTCAAAATCCTTATTTTTTTTTGTTTCTAAGATTGCAAACAACATACTTACAGTTGACTAATAGCATAATTAATAGAGATCTGAGTAAATACCAAAGCCACTGCTTCAATTTCCTTAATAAATGTAATGCTATAATCTACTTATATAAGCACAATGTGTGTCACACAAACACATTTTATTTATATAACATTCTTATTACTAATAAAATAAAATAATTCGCTTATTGTATTTTCTTGTGTATAATATGACTATGTAGTACAGCCTTTATAAATTTTTTGAAAAGTTTTACCATAATATCCATTAAAATCATGCTGTCATGCATATATTTTGCTAAAATATTTAATTTTTCACAATATTAAAGAAAAGAAATAAACCAGATGTTTAGCCATAGCATATTTCTTCTAATTTCCATTTCTAAAATTATTTTCAATTTTTTTTTTTTTTTTTTTGTGTGTGTGCTGAGTGCATTTGCAATTTTGCAAATAAGAGTCTTTTTTTAAGCTGTGTGAAAATTTCTGAAAATATATGCTTGTGTATAATACACCATCACTTTTTTTGCCTTGAACTTTCATGCAAAATTTCTCTTATTAGGCACAAGAAAATATAAGCTTTATATGTGAATCCATACTTGGAGTTTCATAGGGATATTTGGGTGGGGATGAGGAGTTATAAAAGATGCTGTCATAGAAAAATGTTACAGGCACACACACACACACACACAGTGACATTTATATATTCAGTTTTTATTTTATTAATATTAAGAAAATTATTTTATATTAAAATTATGATACTGCACAGTGGTTAGTGTAGTGTTTCAGACTAACATTTTTCATCAATGTTCTGGAACTATCCCTCTCAAAATTTTAAACCACCCCAAAATCAAGATTTTTTTTTAATTTATCATTTTATAGTTGTTAGTAATATAATAAAAACAGCATTTAGATATTTAGGAAATAAATATTTATTGTAATCCATTTAGTCTTTAACCTATGATCTTAGTATCCTGCAGCCATTTGGTCATTGCTTTTCCCTTTCCAAATAATGTGGATGTGTTCCTTGAAAATCAGCATTTGAATTCCTGGGTTTTGTTTGGCATCAGCAAGTAACTCAGCTGAAAAGCAAGTAGATATTTTCATGATATAGCTTAGTTTGAGAAAGGCCATAAAAGTAGAACTCCCTATGAATCATTATATTAGCAATTGTCTCCTCAATCAGTTATATTTTATTATTCATATCTAACAGCATGTGTCTTATATTTTGTCAAACTTAGCATCTTCTTATTTCATGAATATAACTAAATTTGCAGATTCAGATTTAAAAATCAAGTTTTTAATAACTATTATTCATTTCCAATCTGGCCTATTTGTGATTTTTTTTTTTTATAAACAAGCAATTATTTTGTTGATGGCTTTTGTAATTGTGTACTTATTTATATAAAGCTTTTTTATCTCTTGAAAGTGGTAACTAACATAGCCTTTAGATCAGTTTTTCAAGTAAAGGAAGGTAAACAATGATCATAGTTTTGAATAGTATCTTTTTGAAAAATCTAACAAATCTTATAGCATGCTTTATACAAAATAAATGACTACCAAAATGTTTAAACCAGTTTTAATTACAACAGTTTGATAATATCATTTGGCAGAATATGCAAATCTCTCAAAGAATCATTGCCAAATGTGAACCTGCAAAAAAATGGAATGTCAAAAGGATAGCTTTTCCCCTGACACCACTATTATCTTAACTACCTTCAATCCTCAGCAATGTTGTTTTAAAAAGCAATGGTTAGAATTGTAATAAAACCTAAACATAATGAAAGTGAATTTATTTATTCATTTTCTTTGTTCTTGTGAATTGACAACAAAAATAATAAATGCTGTTGACACTGTTAATTTCTTTCATTTTTTTTTCTTTTTTTAATTTACAGAGATTCCAGAGCTGTGTGCAGGGCTATGAGTTTTTCATTAAATGGGAAATACTTTGCTTGGAGTGATGATGAAAAGTAAGAAATATTTTTATCTGTTTTAAAACCTTTCTTTGTCCTTTCAAGTAGCAGCTTTGTCCATGCTTCATTTCATTTCATACATTTACCATGTGCCAATTTATCATATGTTCCTCTTACTTACTGGCAAAATTACCCATTTCTACAAGGGTTACATTAGTGCCTTTGGACAAAACTCGTGTGAATAGATTTGAGTTGAATTTAACAATTATTGAAAAAGAAAATTTCTCGAGTTATCTCCCTTCTCTATTACAATGTCATATTTCCTTCAAATCTTGATATTGATGTTCTTTTTCCCCTCCAGATGCTTTTACAGATCAACTTTAACCTTTAGAAATTATCTTACAGGACAGGAATGACAAAATGATTATATATTTTTGATGTTGATGGAAATATGTGATTGTGGTGAATTACAGGTAGATTTAAGTAGATTAATATTTTATAGTACTATTAAAAAACTAGGTGTGAATGAATGCAAATTTCATTGAACTATCAGTTTGATAAGCTGCATAACAAAATTAACAATGAGGATTTTAATGAATAAATTTCATAGCAGAATCAGATTAGAAATAAGAAAAAAAAACAAAAGGCACTAAAACAAGAAATGCTAATTTCATGGTCAGAATGAGCAATAGAAATGCAAAAGGACTTTTATTTGTTCCATGAATAAAACAAAGAAAGTGCAACGTTTTAAAATGCTAAAACTTTATCTACAAAGGATCTGCAATCTATATCAGGAATAAATGACTTTTATGTGAATAGAGAATGAATAAAGTCCATTCACCAAAATAGAAACAGGATTTTTTTTTCTTACTTTATACTAAAATTTGCTCATTACAAGGCTCAGTAGCTACTCAAAGTTGAGGGTTACTATTAAAATAGTTATGAAAGAGGTGGTTGGAAGTGAATATTATGAGGATAAGGAGGATAGATAACAATTGACCCTTGACTTGAAGAGGTCAAGTTCCACAGAAGTTCGGGGGGGAAGAAAATGTCTTAAATTTGGAATACAGAGGAAATAGGGGGGATTCAATTCAGTGGAAGTAGCATGACTTGTTCTAGCTGTAAAGGTCTGAACTAGTGGAACTGTTGTAGTAAAGAAAAGACTGTCAACTGATAGTAGCAACAGCAATAGATTTCTTGTTTCTCGGCCGCAACACTTGTTGCCAAATCGCACTTCACACGATAGTCCGATGTAACAGTCCAACACACACCGTAGAAACGACAAAACGGGGTCACAAATCCAACCTTCACTTCTCGCCAACAACAACGCATGTTTGTTTTCACAGCTCAAAGAAATCATCTCCTTTTATAAGCAAAAAAACGACGACTTCTGTTCACCAAGAGAATTTTCTGATTGGTCACGCCATTCAGGGGAGGGAAAAACATTAGCATAGCTTCTAGTTATTGATGTAGATTTTTGCTGACTACTTTTTGGTAATTTTTCTTCAGCAGATCACACACAAAACACAAACTTTTTTGGGGGGTACCTGATTATCTCTTTCACTACAGAAACTAAAGAACAGAGCTCATCTGAACATTTGCATTGGAAATAGAAGTAGGCTTGTGTCAAGAATGTTTTCTCACCTGATTTATTTAATCTGTAGAGTGAGATGATTAAAAGTAACTTAAAGGATCTGCTAGGATTATTATTGGCAAACTTGCCAATATACTTGTTTTTAAATATCCCCATCAGATCAATACTTATATGGATATCATACATAGTGCCAAACTTGTTCTATACTGTTCACAGTATACAGCTGCTCTCTCAAATCAATGGTTAAAAATAGCTTTGAGTGAATGATACCTGTAGGTCTTACAGAGGACTATCCTTCTTTGAACCTTATGGACTGGCACACACACATAATTGTACCAAATAACAAAAACCACATCACTTGAGGACTTTCAACAACAGCAGCAACAACTAAAATAGATGTCACAGGTAACTTGAAGAGTAAATAATAATATGATAAAGATTTTGATGATCCATACTACTTCAAACAAAAGTTTAGGAAAAAAGCTCCCATCAATACTGGAAGGAGCTGTAAGAGTTTTTGAACTTGAAAAACCTATTTGTGTAAAATTATTTTCATAGATTTTATAAATTTTAATCAACAGTAACACTGGCTGTTCCATCAATGAATGCTGAATATTTGTTTAGTTAATATTACCATAACAGTTAATTTGGAGAACAGATGTTACTTTGATCTCATTTGATCTCATCCCAAGTAAAATGACAATGGGAATTAAGGTAATGGCTAATATTACCATTATGATTGTGATCTCATCCCAATGACTAGGGAATTAAGAAAAGTGTATCTGGCTGCTCCATCAATGATTACTGAATGTTATAAGCAAATAGCTAATATTGCCATTAGCATGCATGTGATGTGATGCTAGCAGATAAAGAAAGAAAACTTATTAGACAAGGTAGGACTAATTATTGTTTGTAAGACAGAATGTATGGTGGTCAGCAAAATGGACAATTCAAATGTGAGTTATACATTGAAGATATCAAAATTGAACAGGTGTAAAAATTCAACTATACGGGCAAATTAATGACATGGTGTATAATACAGAAATTCAAAGGTGTTTAGGAATGGTGAAATATACAGAAAGCTGAATAAGGTACTCAGATCAGAAAATAAAATTAGAAACAAAAAAAAAAGAATTTTGGACTGCTATGGACTAATATCTACCTTATATGGTAGTGAAAATTAAACACAGATGAAAATTCAGACTATAAGGAAATTTACTAACAATCAGAAAGAGACAGCTGAAATTTTTAGGAAACAATGAAGAAAGAAGATTTGGAGAATCTAACACTCACAAGATAAATTGTTAGCAAGCGATTTATTTGACAAGACTGATCAAATAGTTGGTGGAACAAGTATCACAAAGGCAAAGAAGGGGTCATAAAGGAGAAAATATTGCTGAGAACAACAAAAGACAGGAAGCCATGGAGAACCATGATCACTCACATCCTGACATGGCACATGGAGAGAGGATATTAAAAGTAATTAAGAAAATTAATTGGAAATATGAAAATTCATTGAACATATTTGTAATTTAAGAACTTTCAATAAAAGATAAAATGAAGAAATAAGTCTTAAGTTATGGCATAATTATTAGGTTTGCATAAGTTGTATAAGTATGTTCTTGTTAGAAATAAAATTAAAATAATAAAAAGAAAAAGATGGTCTGGAGCCCCTTCTGTTTGCCTTGGGGTTCTTGATAAGCTCCAGAGGCGGATATGCAATATAATTGGCCCTGTTCTGGCATCTCATCTACAATCGCTCTCTCACAGACGCACCGTCGCCTCTCTCTGTCTTTTTTACGAATACTTTCATGGCAATTGCTCCGAGGAGCTGCATTCACTGGTTCCCAGACATTATGAGTTCAAGCGCCCTACGAGGCTGGCATCCCGCTCTCACCCTTTAACTGTCAATACTCCTAAATGTAGCCGTCTCTTCTACTCCAATAGTTTCATGTCTCGCACCTCTCGCCTGCGGAACTCCCTTCCCTATTCCAGTTTCCCTGAGAGCTATAATTTCCAACTATTCAAATGTAATGTCAATCGACATCTCCAGTTGCCTTGATCTATCCGCTATCCTTCTCCTCATCCTTTCCTCTATCACTCCTATCTGATCTTGCTCCAAATCTTCTGTAACCCCTTGCGTCCTAGTGGCTTCCTGCCTTGCTTGGGGTGAAATGCTTAAAAAAAAAAAAAAAAAATTCCAACAAAGCATGTTCCAGTATCTAAAGAATAAAATAATGTTTTCATTTAAAATGGAGCAGAAAAAAACATTATTTCTTGGAATATTTTGTTGTATTCAGGGCAAGTACAAGGGTTTCATGGGCCCTCACCAAATCTATGATACGGGGCCACACACTCTATTACATCTCAGTTTTCATAAAGGTATTATTAATATAAAATACAAATTTTATTGTAATCTAATTATTTACAATAATGGATCATATGAAATATAGGTGAACAATTCAACTAGAAACATTGAAAATAAATACATTGTATCTAAATATAAATTAAAGACATGTCATAATAGATCATTCCATCTTAAATAAATCAACAATGTTTTGTAGCAATTTTTAACATCAGCTTGAAATTTTTCTTGTTAAGAAGTTAAATAATTTTAGCACACTCAATGTTATGGATTAAAAATAGAGATTTTTATATAATGTTTTTTCAAGACTTAGCATGAGCAAAACAAATTCATAGATTTGGACAAAAGAAAACTCGGAATTATGTCAAACTCTGCAAAAATTTCTCATCCATTAATAGTCAGTTGTACTTAGTTTAATTTGTAACGTATATAAAAGTAGGTAAAAAAAAAAAAAAAAGCAAATGTTGATAACATAGCAAGGGTCAAAAACCACTGACGAGAGCCTCCAATCAGGGTTAAGGTGGGGGGTTCAGGAGTAGTATGCACTGGCCCTGGTTGTATCAACTTATATACAGTAAGCAACTACATACAATCATGCAGATATCAGCCATTAGTTTTTCATTATATGATCAATATCTTTCTGGTTTGAAACCAATTTAACATTTGTTAGTCTTATTTTATATCAAGAAGTTAGTCATCAGTATAAAAATAAACTACATCTGCACCAATTCTATAAGTAAGCATCTTCATAAGTGACTAGCACTATTCATAAGCAAATTCTCTCACTCTCTACACTGTCCTTTCAGGATATGAGCAATCATGGCTGTCCAGAAGTTCTTGTCTTTTGTTATTTTCAATAATACTTGCTTTTTTTATGACTCTCTCTCTGGTACTTATTCTGTTGTCTATTTGCTCAAACTTTCAAGTAGGTTTCTTGTTGCTTTTCCTACTAGTCATAAATTGACTTATTTATAGTCGCCTAATGATAATGTAGAAACAACAATGAATAATAGTTTATATAAAGCATATTCTAGCATATAAATGATTAAAAATACATTTATTTGCAAAATGCTTTCTTCTGTATACTTCTAGTATTTG